GAATTCGCGTCACCGCACGTAAGACACTTGAGAGACGACGGGTCTCTCATCCGACAAACCTCAGCGTTTTTCAGGGTTCAGCGATCACACCATTCGTCCAGCCATTCGAGACCTTTAGCCGATCTTTATTCGCGTTTCTATCGTGTCCTTATGGCGTGGCCGTACTTATCGGGATTATCGAGGCATATCGTACCTTTCAGTTTTTCAAGTTCTCAGCGCGCTCGCAATGGCGTAGTCTTCTCAGTTCAAAAGAACAAATGAAATATCCAACGTTCAACCTTCGTTAGTGAAACACGATGGAAATTACGTGATGTATTCGTTTATCAGACAACAATTAATTATCTCGGATTTCTTTCATGTTTTAATTAAAGCTCATATTTCCTCTTCGTATTTCTCGCATCGGTGAATTCTCTCTTTTATTTTCATCGTACGCGTTCGTTAATATTAAGATTCCACCGATCGACTTCTCCTACTTTTTGTCCCGAATAAATAACCAACGGGCATCCTACCGTGCGAATTAATTTTATGTTACTCGTAATGTAACGACGCGGCAGACACATCGCGCGATAGTTATGACGGTGAGAATCGCGCAGCTGCATATTCATGCGGGGATATAAAATCGAAACCAGAGACCGTCTCTCTTTCTCTCGTCCATGAGTCATCGGCGAATCCTCGCAAACCACTTCTCTGCCCGCTGCTCGCCGTCGACATCCGTGGTACATTGACAAAGTGGCGGCGAAAAGTGGGCAGAATGCGGCGGGGTGTCCGATTGACTCGTCGACGATGCGCGGAAAAAAAGGACGGATCCAGGAGCGGGACAAAGTGGTCCATCCACTTCTTCCAGTTGTCTCGGGATACAGCAGACAACTGGGCTGGAGAGGGGGGAAGGGGGAGAGGGCTGAAAAAGGAGATGAGGAAGACTGACGAGCGACGCAAAGACATCCGTCACCTCCGCGGCAAAACCGAGTGGCTTGAATGGTACTTAAACCAGCGCCTGTCCGTCAAACCTGCGGGAATTGTGCCGCGATAAAGCGGTTTCTGGATGCGACGCCGTACACGTCGAATTATCAGGGGAATCCTCCTGCTGGCGGCGGCGTTGCGCGCCAGGCAGCGCGCATTCAATTTCGATCGCGGACGTTTGCTGCGTGGGTATTTGTATAGCGCGCGGGTATAGCAATTTTCCTTCGCTCGCGCATCACGCAACGTCGTTCCGTATTGAGGATGAAGCATATGGCGGATTTGAAAATTAACGAGACTTACAGAAGGAGCTGCATTGTGCGAGTCGCGCGCGGTATATGGGAATTTTTTCCGAAGCTATATGAAAATTGACGTCTTTTGCGAAAGTACAAAGATAGCCTAACCGCGCAAAGACATTTTTCAAGAATGTTCCATCCATCACAATGTCGTTGTCGTGCCATCTGTCATAAGCAATTATACAGTATTTACTGTGCAAAAAAAGCGCAGATGATGAAGTACGTTAATTGCTGCAAAATTACATATATTTATTTTTCTTATATTCTCTCAACCATTATTAAATAAAATAATAATTATATTTTTATGTTCGTATATATTTATATCTCAAGAAAGTTACTCGCTAAAATATATTGAGAATCAGGGTATCACAAAAAATCTCTCATCTCTCGTCAATTTAAATTCTTAACTGGAAATCCGCTAGTCCATTTAGAAGAAACACTGCTTGGCTGGCCACATAGTGCGGCAGCCACGGTCTTCGTGGCCGTAAAAGACCGCAGGAGAGCGTCAGATAGCAGTAGCGACAAGCCGGCAAGTTGACGAGGTACTCTCCTCGTGGCCGGCCGAGAACCGATCATCACTGCGAGCTAGTAATCAGCTGCGAGCTCGCTCGCTCGCTGCTTCTGCATCGCCTAGCCTCGCTTCCTTCTACCGGCCTTTCCATCCCCTCGTCCTCACCCATCTCGCCGTTTTCTTTCCACTCTTGTTTTCGCGAGTCCTCTGGACTCGCTTTGCTCTCGCTGAGCACAAATTGTCTTCCGAGAATGGCCGGTACGCTCGAGATTATAGTTCAACGTTCTTGAGATTATGACGGGGCGGTAGCCGGCCAAACCTCCGACATTGTTCCGTCTGTTTTGCGTATCCTTTACAAGAGTTACAATTAAGATCCGTACTTATCGAACGCTCGTGTGCGCGCTCCTTTTCTCAAGTCTTTCGTCGCTTCGTTCTACACTACACTTCGATCATTCAAGCGTGTGGATTGACTATATATGACATACGTTTTAATTAATTGGTATATTCTTTCTGCAACGTTTTTTTGCAAAGATTTCCAACTTTCTAGTCTTTCGCAAGTTAAGAATATGCAACATCAGAATTAATAAGATAAAAGTGAAATTCTCGATGCTTTCAGCTGCCATATACGATGTCCGTGGACATCAGCAATCCTTCGGTGCTGAGCAGTTCCCTGAACATTTCCCAAGTTGGCGAGATACCCGTCGGTGATGTGCAAACGTGGGCCTTGTCGTTGCATTGCGGGCCCTACAACGTAGAGGTTGACTTCAGTCTCCGAATAAATGTCTCGCTACCAAGGAAGAACACCACCACTTTGGAGTTCAAGCGAAAAAAAATTTGTATGAAGAAAGAGAGTTACACCGAGCCCGAGGAGGTCCTCGTTGCTGCCTCTAACTCCACTTCTGGCGGTCAGCTTTTCTACGTGGGGATTGGCTGCGCGGGTGCATTCTTGGCGATTATCATCGTCTTGATTATCGCCTACTATGTGCGCGATAAGAAGACCAGGAGACATCGAGATCCTCTACAGTAAGTGAAACGTACCGTTAAAGAGAACCGAGTAGTTGAGTAAATTTTTGAATATATACATATATGTATATATATATAAGATTTGTGAATTGCAGGGAATCCAGGGGACTCAGTTCAGCGTGCAGCATGGAAAGAGGCACCGGAGTGGGGCCTGCACAAACTTTTTTATCACCGGAAACACCTCCACCTACCTCCGCTGCGTCGGGATCGTCTTATAGAAGACTAGATGATCGTCCTAACAGAGAACTTCACGAACGAATCCAGGAAATCACTGTGCAAAGGTGATTATCACGTTTTCAACAAAATTAATTGGATTAAGTTAAGAAAAAATATTGAATAATATTCTTATATGGGACCCGATTGTCTGACAATCAATTTTCGGAGATAGATTATTTATTTGCGACAACAAACGTCATAAAAATAAATCTTTTTTTATTTACTTATAAATATCTTATACCGCAGAAATAGGTGAAAAATTGTAGAATTAAACGAAAGAATTAATCTTTCTCGCATTACAGATGCAGGGTGCGCCTCCTTAGTATTGAATTGGAGGGAACATTTGGGCGCGTGTATAGAGGCAGTTACCACGAAGAAGGCGCTTCATCCTCGAAGGACGTATTGGTGAAAACTGCTGCCGAGCACGCATCCCAATCGCAAGTAGGTTAATTTGAAATGATTCTCTCAAATTACGCTCTTGGGGATAATTATAATTGTATATTTATAATTAATAATATAATTATAATTATCAATATAGAAATATAAAATAAACGCGTATATTAGCTATTTTAATCATATTATCTTATTAAAAAACAGAATATCTTATTTATTACGAAGAGATAAGTCTCTTTTTTAAAATGTGGCCAAGATGATACATTTAAATATAATTTTTTTGTTTTGAAAAGGTGGCTCTTTTATTGCGAGAAGGTTTTGCCCTGTACGGACTAAGTCATCCGGCGTTACTTCCGGTTCTCGGTGTTTCTATTGAAGACCGAGGCGCTCCTTTTCTGTTGTACCCACACACGGGTTACAGAAATATGAAGAGATTTTTATTAAGGTGCAAGTATAGTAATGAAGGACCTCCGAGGGCTCTTACCACGCAAGAAGTGGTGGAAATGGCACTCCAAGCTGCCAAAGGTGTACAATATCTTCACAGAAAAAGGCTCGTTCATAGAGACTTGGCTGCCAGAAATTGCGTGTAAGTAAGAACAATAAGTAAGAACAATAAATCATTACAAACTTTTTCGAGGTGTACGATGTAGACCTCTTTTAAAGCATAAATATATCCACTAAATATGTTTTACATTAGTTCTAGATAAGTTAATTTACTCGTCTTATAAATTCTTGAGTGCCTCTAAAATTTTTACTGCTGGAGATATATCGCTTTTAATATAGCTCGGCCGGCTTCGGATTTTATATGGCTGTACAATAAAGTCCGTTACGTCTCGTTACCGAATTAATTGCGCGTAGACTTAATAACCGGTGTGTTACCGTAAGGCTTTAATTGCTGGTATCTGCCTGACTTCCATTCGGGGAAAGTATTTATAACGATGCGGTAATGAAATCGCGTGATCTGTGCTTCTCCGACACGACCGTCATCCCAAGTTCACCGATTTTTATCTTTCAGGGTGGACGATGACTTAAGAGTACAGATTACGGATAACGCCTTGGCTAGAGATCTGTTCCCACAGGATTATCACTGCCTTGGCGATAACGAAAATCGCCCTATCAAGTGGCTAGCGATAGAAAGTTTACTCAATAAGACCTTCACTACAGCTTCTGACGTGGTAAGTAACATTTACGAGTTTGAAATATTATAGAAAGAATGGAATAAAAATTAAAATACTATAGAATAATAATAAAAATTAAAAATACTATAGAATAAATATCAAATATTTTCCAATTTATCTGATATTTCCTCCTTGATGCTTTTATTTTTTGATAAATCAAAGTTTTAATTAAAGTCTTTATTCTATATTCACAGTTTATATAGTGCTAAACGTTTATACGGCGATAATGACTATTTTAAAATGATGTATGTTATATTGTGTTATTTTCATCATGATATTTTATGAAATTTTAGTGGGCATTTGGTGTTTTATTGTGGGAGCTAACGACGTTGGCACAACAGCCTTATGGAGAAGTGGATCCATTTGAGATGGCATCCTATCTCCGAGAGGGATACAGGTTGGCGCAACCGATAAACTGTCCGGACGAGCTGTTCGCAGTGATGGCGTATTGTTGGGCGATGTCAGCGGAGGAGAGGCCAACGTTTAGTCAATTGATTGTTTGTCTACAAGATTTTCACACTCAATTAACGCGATATGTTTAATTGAGCGTGCTCACTGGCTGTAAAGTACATAGGACTGAACTTTGCTATTAAGTTGTCTCCATTGAATTTTTAAACATATCAAAATTTTTATCCAAGGAATCCTATTGAGACTTCAATATAGGAACGTGTGTATATATCATATTCTAGTGCTTAGGTCCTCGTATAATTGAAGCATTTTGATAGCAGTCTGTATAGATATGATAGATTCTAATGCAATATAAATATTACATCAGTTTTCGCTTCAAAACTGTGTAATTAAGTGAATCGCTTAAGAAGTAACTGCCAGTCAAAACTGAATTTAGAATAGAATTTTACTGTTGCGAAATAATTTTCATATAAAAAAAAATTCTAAAATTTTAGTCACGCAGGAATATATGTATATTTCTAAGCGATACGTTCTCAAAACATCAAACAGGTGTAGTAATTAAGCACAGCATGTAAAAATCGCGTGAATTATTCATATTGTAAAAGTTAAGACTGAACTCCCTCTATTGCGCCATGTGTTTGGCGCTCGTTCGACCTGTGTCAACCATGATTACCAAAACCGGCGAGCACGATACGTCATCGTGCAACGCCAGTCCCATTTTCGGAAACCTGTACTGCCGGTGGTGAAACGGCGAATCTCTGAGCCATGTGATACGCGCTTTGCTTGCCTATATATGAGTGTGTTTCGAGTGTGCCAATACCTTCCCACCTTTTTTCTCTTTTGTATTTTTGTACATAATATATTGTTAAGCCGTGTGCATACGCGTTTATCGATGAGTATACGAATCGCGCTTAAACAAAAGAATCTCGTGTATATGTATATAATTAACATGTGTGTAGCGCACGAGACTATAATTGTACATACAAACTGCAGGCGTTGCGAGCCCAATAAATTTCTATCTATACGATACAGAATGACAGCGTCGTTACTTTTGTCCGCGTCCACCCTCTCACGAGTGATCCGTCACTACGAAAACAGTCGTAAACGTCATTCTTCCTAGCACGGTTTTAAATCGTTCACCGGTTATTTCTGGCGAGCCTTTCTTCGCGGTGAAAGGAAGGGTGCAAATGCGCTGTGTGGAAAGAGTTTCTGTTTTCTCGGAAACCGTTCGTCAAAGCCATATGTCACATCCTAAACGAGTCTTGTAATTCGTATGGCAGCAGTGCCAGTGTCGCGTGAGAAAATTAACGGCGGTCTTTGCGATGTCTCGTTTAAAATGACGAATATTATTGAATGCATATTTTCATACTTCCTTCATTTTTATATAATATATAATGCGTATATATTAAATTTATATGCTATTATATTTCTTTTTATAATTACAAATGAATAAATTAGGTAGAGTAACCATGAAAATATAATTTAAAACATTTTTAACCAATATGGATCATTCTTTAATCATATGAAGTACAAATAAGTAAGGAAAATTTTTAATCGTCATTGTGCAGAAATTTGTATCAACACAAAGCTTTTATTTGCATTTTACAGAGTACCTATATTATATCACATTTTATAAGTAATCAAATTACATTCAAATGAATAATTGTATCCATAATATTTCAAAATTATCGTAACATTTATAAACATCAAAATAATTGTATGGGTACGGGCAATTCATTGGCATATAAATGTATATAATGTATGTAAATTCGACAATTTATAAGCCCTACAATATAAATTGTTTGATTAAAATAAAACTATTTTTATTGTGATTTATTCTTCTACTCGTAAAGCACGTATTGTAATATTTTTCCGTGGTTATGAATAATTCCACGAGATAAAATTATTACAATTTATTAAACATTTAAATGTATTATCATACTATCGAAATATACCGACGCCCTATTACCAAGCCCTTGTATTAAGCCTCCCCCCTTTCTTAGCTATAAATCGTTTTATCCGGAATTTAACGTTGTTCACTCGCTATTATGCGCTCTCTGTTCAATACCTACGAATGAGGACGCTTCGTGAAGTACGTTCCGTGAGAGCATGAACAGCCTTGGGCCGCCAGAACATTAATTTGTAGCATATTTACACTGTCAAGATACGTCTCTGCGTATATCGTCGGTGATTCCCCAATAATGCGAGCCCGATTAGGCACGCTACATTAGACACTCCGTTTTCTACGCTCCGTCGACGGTAAATGCTCGGCCTGCGAGAGCGGCCGAAGGGTGCTTGGAAAGCCGGAAACAAGCAAAAACACGCGCGCGTGAAAAAAAAGACGTGTATTTATACAGTCGGCAGACAAACGCGTAAGGTTTAATTGTGCGAGAACAGCGGGAGTTCGCTTAGATACGGTTTTTACGATCGTCGTGTCGCGGCAGCCGTTTACCATCGAATACTTCTTGAGAAAACGAACAATCCGACGGAGCTCGGAGAATCGGTTACAAATTAGTCACCGGCGCGTTTCGTTTCCTCGGAAATAAGCATACTTCGGTCATTCAGCGAAATACTCTTGCGCCTTAATGAGGATTTTGCGTCATTGCGCGACCGTGATGCTCGAGTCTCGGTAATCGCCGATCTTAGGAAGAGGATTTACGTAACGCGATATCCTGCAATTGCCTGCCGATCCGCCACTGCATAATTGCATCTTTGGCACGAACAATTTAAGCGCGGTCGCGACGTTCGACGGCACGAACGTTTGGCGCCTGCTATACGGTACGGCTGAATCATTATTCCGTGAGGCACGAAATACGGCACAGGAAAGGGTGACATCATTAAAACTCTCTCTCTCATTTATCCATTACACAATTAATCTCACGTTGCTTTCAATAAACAATTACACCAAATGACAGAGATAAACTTTTTTAAACATTTTAGCGTCGCGATGATAAAAGGACCCCTAAGAACAAAGACAGTGATCGGGGGAGAGGCCCGTCACAGTTTCGCAGGGCTGAAAGGGGCAACAAGGATTTTAATGAATCTCAATGAGGCTCTTGCGCTCTTTGTTTGCGCTGGGATTTAGCCGTTGAGGGTGACAGAATTCGAAATTACTTTAGCGCTGATGTGCTGGCTGCAACGGGCCATAACGGGGTGCATTTTAGAGCGAACACTTCGCTCATCGTAACAGGCGCGAGATAATGTCATTCATGAGCATTCATCATACCCTCCACTAACCTATTCACGGCGAATCATTATTAGAGCGAACCTTTGTTCAGCGCGAAAGTAAGTGTACTCTCCAGGAAGTAACAAACGTTGTAGTACGCATATATTACTCTCGTTTCTGTTTGGTAATCACATATTGAAATCGCACACTTTTAAACATATTAAAAGATAAATTGACTCGGCAAATGGATCTCAAAAATTTATATACATATAATAGCTTGTGTTTCTCAAAAGATAGAATTAATTAGTAATGTAAAATTCTTATTTGTCAATTTCTTCCATTAACAATCTTATTTACATATAATGGTCGTTTATTTATATTAGTTAGAAGTATCCATGAATCTCGCGATATTGATCTCAGGAAGCAATTAAAATCACTGGTCCGAATCCTTCGAGAAAGGTATTACTTGCTTCTTCGAGACCATCTTTGTTACGCTTTACGAGTCGGAGGCCATTCCAATTTTCTACAATAATGATTGTCATCACTATATATACTCCGCTTTGAGTATTTATCCCTTCCTTGAAACAACTTGTACAGTGACAGAAGTATTTTATGGAAAATCAGTGTCGCCTGTGTATTGGCGAAAGAACGATGAAAATGCAAACAAAAATAATTCTCGCCGGGTGTTTTGCGATCATAATGTTTAACAATTTTGGTACAGGTGTCAAAGTTTCGTCAAAGATCGATTTCGATTCTAATGAAAATGAAGAGACATTAGCCAACCCCACCTTGAGCACGACTATAAATCCAAGAAAATCTATTAGTCCACCGGAATCAATTTTGCGTGCACCTAAATCATCGACATTCATCTGGGATCATGGAAGCGAGCTCGTAAAAGCAAGTGAACCGAGAAAAAGAAGGATCTATCCATCGTGCGTGAGTAACAGACGTCATAAAAAAATAATTACACAGTCTCGCAAGTTGCGAGTTGATATTCAGTTTTGTACAAAATAAATAACACAAATGTTTTAAAATTGCATCCATTTTTTAGTAGTTATAACGTGTAAGTCACTTAGACATTAGACTTGTGCATTATGGCTATTTGGTTCTTCAAAAAAATAGCAATGTCACAAAGTAGTTGATTTGATAGCTTTACACTTTACATATATCCATAAAATAAAACAAAAAGTAATAGATAAAGTGTAGATTATGCAATAAAAAATAATTCTAAAATTAGATTTAACTTAATGTAACGCTTATGTTTAATTTAAACTAATTTTCTATTTTTCTAGTTAAAATATTCGTATTTGCATTATATAAATTGTATAAGTTATGCAGTTAAATCAATAATTAGATATCAATCGTTTTCATCTTGCAGGCTGTGGAAAATAAAATTAAGAAATAATGCAATTCACTTGATCAACGAAGTCCAAAAAATATGCAATGAAATTGATGACAAATTAGAATATTCGTCAAGAATAATATTAATTCAAGTCTGTATTGCGCGATCATATATTAATGCTACATATAAGCATTAAATTAAATTCAGTTTAAATCCAAAATTAAAATTAAATTAAAGCATTTAATATAATTTAAAAAGAAAATTATTTTTGTATTCGCATAATCTATTATTCATCTTTTAATTTCATGTATATCAAATGTAGAACCATTAAGCTATCAAATCAGCTACTTTGCAACGTTACAATTTCCTCGAATAACCAGTCGTGAATATTTATTACTATAATACAGTGCATACGTTTTGAATATACTCAAGATTAGTACAATTTCATGTGTTAATTTATGTGTGAAATATTCATGATATCGAGTATATAAATTTTATAAGTTAAAAATTCATCATTAAAATAATTTGATAAAATAAATAATTAACTACATTAAAATAGACGTTAAACTAACGAATGAATGTGCTGTTAGAAAATTTAAGACTCAATTTTATTTTTTTATTTTAACGTTGTCTTATATTTAACACATTTAAATAATTTTCTGTATTAAGAACTCTTATAGAATCCTGACCAAATATTATAAAAATTAATTATTTTATTTATATCAAATATTATCTCATTATTATACAAGAAAGATAATTATATCATACAACATATCGATATTAAAAACTATTGCAGCTCTTTTAAGATAACGCGACAATTAACTCGTATTTTTTTGCAGGATGATTCGGCAAAACAACAAAAAATAATCAATAATATTGAAGTCGTTGTGAACAGTAACGATAGCATACCAAACGGAGATTCTTGCGAACATGGTATATGTAATGTATCCGTTTCTTCGAAATCGGATGAAAATGGAAATATCATCACCGAGGTGCATCTCAGCATTATCACGAAAGCAAAACCGAACATTAAGATCGATGATGTCCCGGTAATCAATGGTTTTCGAGGTATTAATGAGGATAAGCAACCTGTTTTTCATTCAATAAATTCGCCACGTTCAATGCATATGCATTTTCATCGCAACAATATTCCACAGGTGATAAAGTTTGTTATATAAGATGTCTTACTGTATACTGCATGAGAATTAATATTATAGTGATTAAAACTTATTTTTGACGATCTATAATTTGCGTTTAAATTTTAGGTAAAAGTTTATTTATATACCATTTAAATATATTCTTTATTTTAAAATATTTAGTTTATTTTATATGGATATGTATTTTGCGATTTTTCGAATATTTTTTACAGCACATAAAATTCTAAACAGAATTTTATCTTTTTAACAGTTTGACATAAATTATATAAATCATCTAAAGTGAGTTTAAAAAATTTCTTGTAATACTTCATTAGCTAAAAAGTGTATTTTTTTCCCATCGTAATAGATTCAAACTACTTATCAAGGATATGGTGAGCCTTGGTATGGACGGACATTTCGACGGCCACAAATATATTGGAATTATCATTTTGGAGATCACGGTAACGTGGGATTTCGGGATCATAAAACATGGCCGCGAGATAAACCTATAGTCGATGATAAGATTGAACCACCGCTTAGTAAGACCAAACCCAGCGACGATACAACATTATAAAATTATTTATTAAATTGTAAAGTTTTTGTGATGTAAATATTGCTATACAAAATAATATTGGATCGTGTTATTAAGAACAATTTAATTGTCACGTAATAAAATTAAAAAATCATTGTAAAAGCGTCAAGAGTTTAATTTATGCATTACATAATAGATACAACAATATGAATATATTAAAGCAAGTAATTAAATGCAGAATAGTCGTCAAGAGAGTGTTATATGCATTCGATATTACTCAAATAGAATATAACACTAACGCAAGAAAGCTTATTGAGATTTTTAAATATGTATCACAAGCGATTCTTGCTCGCGAACGGATAGTAAAAAAATCAAGCTACTAACAATTATAGAAAATCATATAAAAGTCATAACTTTAATTTTATAGAGAGAATCTATTAGTTCTAAGAAACTTGAGTATTTGTCTGGCAATCTTAAGGAAATATTTGAGTCGGAATTTTGAAAATCCTCTGTCGCAATCTTTTTTTTGTAACAATTTTGAATTTTGAATTATAAAATTTTATCATTATCATGATAACACCATATATAGCACGATAGTAAATTAATGATTATAAAAATAGGCACAGTCATGGCCGTAATTTAATTAATCGTGCACAGTGCGGTAAGAAACTCTCCCATTATCATTAACACCAGTAACAGACGACTTATGATTAATCGGCTTGCCGTCCGGGCCGGTCTGGCTGGAGGAACTAGAACTAGCGAATACTCCGAAACTGTTACCCGATGGCGGAGGAAGATCATCAGCGAATCTGGACTCTATTCCTGGAGCAGCCTATGATGGCGAGATCGCCGGTAATAAAGACTATATTCAGAAGACTGCAATCTGATTGTGTGCAAAATGAAGCGTGTTAACTGGACAAGTTCTGTATTGCCGTTTTTTGGTGCTGTAACAACTCAAAGCGTAAGACTTACAGGACTGATTTGGCCAGTTTGGAAACCACCGTATGGGCCTAAGCCGATGCTGGCACTCGCCACCTGCGGTACGCCGCCACTGTAAGGATTCCCGTAATTTCCGTAATTTCCGTAATTAGGATCGTTGGCTAAACGATTGTGGAGATCCATATTGCTGTACAACATAAATTCCTGTTTACAATGTGCTTTACGAATCTATATGAATGACAACTTGCAATCGCATTTCAAAAGAATAATTATAAATATTGGATGCAAATGCGTTTCCTTAGTCTGCAAAATCACGGACGATTATTAAAGCAAAATGATACTCGGGAAGAAACATCACCGAAGGCGTAAACAGCATAAAGTACAAAATTTTAGTAATCAATTATAGAAATAAGGCATATTTGATTATATAAAACACTTAGATAAAAAGTTTTACTTTAAATTTAAAATAATTCAATAAAAAATGTTCTTTGCACACTTGTTAATAAAAACAATCTGGAAGAACGCATTTAGACAGGAAAGAGATCTATTTTAATTGTGTAATAAACATGAAAAAAATCTCTGATGTATTAAATGTTAAAACAATACTGAGATTGTATAAGAGCAATTTTAAATGTAAATGATTTTACAAATATAACTTCGGGGAATTCCACTCGACTTACAATAGTTATGCTTCGAAGTGTAAAGATCAGTCATTTGCAACTTATATTACTTGGAGACTTACGCCTGATGTTGCGCCTCGATCTGCGCCTGAATTTGTTTAATCATGTCAAAAGTGGGGTCATTGAAATTAGGAAATTGCCCTGGGTAAAAGTATCCGGGTCCTGCGTTATTATACAACGGATCTGCGAAAAATAGAGTACATGATAAGATACAAATAACGACATCTATATATACAGCGTGAAAATCATGCATTTACATGCGATTATATTCAGTTATAAATCACATAAGTTTACATAGACTATCTAAGTATAAGTATACCTAAATAAATAAATAAATAAATAAATAAATACATAAATAAATAAAAAATAAATAAATAAATATATAAATACACGCATACAAATAAATATATATACATATACATATATATATAAATGTACAAACGCACGCGTATATAAATAAATAAATATATAAACGTCGAAAACTATTATCACCGACATTAGTCGTTTTACATAAAATACAATTCGGTTTGACAAAATATCATGCATTTAAAAAAAAGCATAATATCAGCACGACTTCGCCAAACAAATTTTGAAATACGTAATTCTAATATCTCTCTTCTTCGCCTTTGATATCCAATTGGTTTCATTTTTCTGCCGATCTTTTACAAACATCGAGAAACGTCTAAACCACAGCATGCAACCCCAATTCATTCATTATCCTCCAAAATTCTGAGTCAGTCTTCGTCCTTGGATTTTTGGGTTCATGCTCGTACCTCCGCCGAAGTTCTGGTTTGGCGAGTTATCCCTGTTTGGTGGATTATTCTGGTTCGGTGAGTTATCCTGAAATCCTCCTCGACTACCGAAAGATGGATCTCCCGTCGGTGATCCCGGCGTGGGATATGACGGTGTGGGGTATGCCGGCGTAGGATATCCTGGTGTAGGATATCCTGGGGTAGGATATGGCCCCATTGGATATCCCATTGCTGGATATCCAAAATTTCCGGTGGACGCGCCTGCGCCTGCGGACGCGTATCCGGGCCCGTTGTTTGTCCACGCATAGTTTGGGTTATAACCTGGTATAGAGTTGAATCCTGGATAACCAAAATAGGGATCGAAACCTGGACCGCCAAAGCCGTATCCAGGAGCGCCAAAGTATGGTCCGGGAGTTGGCCCTTTGTCCTTAGATGGTCCAGGTTTCTTAGTGGAATCTTCGGGTTCGGGTTCGTCAATGTTCGAACGTGATTGAATGTTGTTTGGTTTCTTCGGCTCGGGCGTTGGTTTCGTGCTTTCTGGAGTTGTCGTGCTAGGCGTAGTAGTGGATAGGGTTGTTGGAGTAGTAACGGAAGTGGATGTGGGAGTACTGGCGGAGGTGGTGGTCGGCGTAGTCGTGGGAGACGTCGCCTCTGTGGTAGTGGTGGGTGTAGTGGTTGGTTCGGTGGTTGTAGGTGTTGTTGGAGGTGTGGTCGATGATGGCGTGGTCGATGATGGCGTGGTTGATGAAGGTGTGGTTGATGATGATGTGGTCGATGATGGTGTGGTTGTGGGATCTGTTGTCGAGGAGATCGTTGTAGTTGCTTGATTGGTGGTACTCTCACCATTCGAATCATCGATTGCTCGCTTCAACCTGGACATCGCGGCGAGACTGGCCGACGGTCTATCGTCGCGTAGTCCTCCATCTTCGAGAAGAAATGAAAACAAAAGAGCAAGTCTTTAACGAGATACTTTGTTGCTACTGAGATGAAACTCGTATGGTTGATGATTCTCGGCTACTGGTTGAAATAGCATTGTTAGTTGTAACATATGCCTTGTGACCATATCTCGGAATTCCATCACCAAAGACACGCAACAATATGCCAGATGTGTTACTAGTCACATTATAATGCTTAACATAACAGATAATGGATAACACTTAATAAATGTATTACTGATCACAATATTGCGCAAATAGTAATGTTTAATAAAAGTAATGGTTGTGCTTAGATATATAACTTATAAAATACCGTATAATATAAAAAGTTTTATAGGGACATAAATATCATAAAAAAAAACGATATTTAAAAGTCATTGATATAAAATATACGACAATTGAAATCCTGGTTCTTTAGTCCAGAATCTTAAACTGCTTATAATACTATCCATCGGTCTATTAAATTGTAAAAAATTTGTCAATTAAGATAAATTTTGTAAACAAATTATGTTATCGCTTATTTCTCTTCAGCAAAACGTATAAGTAAAGAATGAATAATAATTGAATTATGCGCGATACGTGACATTAATCGTGAGATATTGAAGTTCTGCAGTCACGTTAATTTGATAAACCACGTACTTAAGGCATTTCTTTTTCGATAACATCCTAGCGTTCAAGATCACATCCGAAAAGTAAATTGATTTTTATGCAATATGTTTTATCTTATCATCTCATCCTATATATTTATTATATTTAAATATAGCTATTAAAATACTTTTAACTTACCTTTCTGTTATTCTATTATCTCTACTATACACACATATTAAATTTTCATTTTATATTACAAAATGTGTTACATTCCTCCTGTTTAAACAGAAGTAAGCACATTTTGATAAATCAATTAGCGCCGTATATTTTATATATTTATCAATATGATAGGAATAAGGACTCATGCACAATGAGAAAAATAAGGAACAAGGAATTAAACAGAGAGAATTCCGTCTTGAAAAGAGAGGAAAAACCGTGTCTTGAAAAAAATGCGACTATGAATTCTCTCTATGTTAAATTCCTTGTTCCTTATTTCTCTCATTGTGCATGAGCCCTAATCGTGTCGTGCGCGAGAGATTATGAGAAGATAGTGAAAAGAAAGTATCTTCTCATGAGTCAAGGTGAAGAACGAAATGAGGTCACGGTCTGCGAGCGTCAAATTATTTTCATTTGGCTAGCAGTTGTGTGAGCGGTTACGCATATGTTTATATGCGCAGGCGAGCATGCTGCATCATGGGACATCAATCTTGGTTATCATAATTAATATCGCTTATAACAATCGCGATAATTTATTCTTTTCTTTTTTTTTCAAATAAAGAAATATTGTTAATATTAATGAATAACTAGTTTTAAAAAAGAAGGAAAGAAACTAAATGTGCGTAAATTGTATCACGCAAATTAACATATTTGCATAAATTATCGTAAATTATTATAAATTGTCACAAACTACTGGAAAATGCTTGTTTAGTGACCTATCGATGAGTCATCGGAATGTCTTTGCAAAGATTTTTAGCAAGATTTTAGACTGTTTGCAGAAAAATTAACATCATAAATAAAAAATTATCATCTCGCGCCGCGGCGTCATTCATTTTTCAAAGTATCTCTTCTACAATCGTAATTTCTGAATGTTTATGTAGAAAGAGAATGTCAGTAGCCTGATAGCAAACCTGCTCTTCGGCGTTGATTAAAATCATAAAATTATATCCGCATGTTATCGAATTCGTCGATGGAATTTTGCCGCGTTTGCTAATCTCGCAATTATCCTGAAATTCCCGCGCACCGTCAGCTATTTCTACTTAAATGCACGACGTTGCCATTATGTAACTTAACATTAGCTTTAATTTTTATCAACCTTGATGTATGCAACATGCAATGTCTTTTGAATAATTTTATTGGTTAACGATTAGTAGTGCAGAACTAACTCGAATTTATTTACATATCGTATTGCACATCTGTTTGTATAAAACACTAAAAAGATTACCTGATAAAAATGGTTGAAAATGAGAAAAAAAAAAAGTGTTATTACGCATCGAATTTATGATTCTTTTAAACTGCGATGAATATATTGCTTCCTAGTACGTAATTTATTTTTTGTTCTCATAAATGTTAGTATACTTGCTCTAGTAGCTAACATTTATAAGTTAAAGAAAGAATATTCTCACACAAAAATATTTAAACATTGAGCTTGTAATTTAATTGTGAATCTTAATTGCGGAAAACAATTAATGTCAGAATGTTTAAGGTATTCGAACATACAATATCACGTTAGTAAACAAGTAGAACACTGTTGAATTCGCTCATGACAAAATAAAGCTTCACGATTGCTACTCACTTCCATAAGGATAACCATAAGGATAACCATAAGGATAACCAAAGGCGGATCGGGCCTCCGTAAAGGATCCTAGGACAGCAATGAAAGCAACCAGCGCGAAGATCCTAATATCCATCTTTCTGATTGTATCGTCGATCAGTCGGCGAAGTAAGTCAACGAGGAAAAACTGAGAAATACTAATGCTTATGTATATTACTTGTTATTTATATATCACCACAGTATATCGCGTAAAAACCGAATGATCCTGATGTTGTCGCCGTCTGCGAAAGAATGACTGACTCAGCTGATGCCGCGATCATCTTATATAGCATTCACTCGTATCGGCACTTTATTACCTCCTATAGCGTTACTCTTCCTTGCGTTAGTGCGTTCGCGCGAGAACTTCAAAAGAAATCCTTGTTACAGCAAGATTACTATGTAATGCAATTTATTATCGTCATTTTGGTAAAAATTTCCGAATAAAATAATTTCTCTATTTTATCATTTTATATTGCATTAAATAATAAAATATAAATATCTTTAAGGTATGGCTGTAAGATATTGACGTATTTACTATCTTCTTCTTGTGTTGAAATTTTTTATATAGCTTTTGATTAAAAAAATGGATTATTAAAGCTTATTTGTAAAAAATAAAAACCAAAAGATTTTTCTCATCTTATAGTTTGCAAATTACCCATATAAGTCAGTAAATTGCTATAAAAAATTTATCTTTTGTTCTTAAATAATAACATTTTTCATAGATATGCCGATATTTTAAGTTACAAATTTGTTTAGTAAGCAAGATCGATTAATAACATTTATGTTTCTTTGTTTCTTTGTTTGATCGTTCCGCGTCTTTTCAATTTGAGATATTTGCTGCAAATTCTGCTTAGCTTAATAGAATGAAATTGCTTAGACCTTGACAGTGATCTTGTTCCCAGTATTATACCACGCAGCCCCAATTCTTGTTAAACTGTTTTTATTTGGGAAAAACACATGTTTTCAGTTCTATAACTTGCACCGCGATAACCCTGCGATAACAGCAGCGTAAGTAGGAAATAATCTTGGACGGCGGAAACGTTACTGTTGATTATCGATATGTAATTGCAGGATACATTCAATATCGGAATGATACGTTCAACAATGTACTGTAAAGGATTTTTCCATGTTGAGGAACCAGAACGTTAATTATATAGTTTTTCATTCACACGAGCTTTTAACGTGCACTTGCACTTATGAGACTCAAGTTATTGTGTCCATACGGAATTGCAACAAATTAGAGAAGCGAGGTATTTTTCCACAGTGTTTGTAGATATAATTGTTTCATAGTTACACGGAATACATCAGAGAATATATATTTACTTTTATTTATAGATTATTTCATCAACATATAATTTATTTTTCTATAATTTAAAATTTATTATTATTTCTTAATTTTTAGAACCCGTTCTGACGACTTTCTAAATGATGTACAACGTGTTTCATCACGTAATGCCTATCCCGGAAAGCTTTTATTTTTCAATTATGTATATCTCGGACGCTATTAATACTGATCGAAATAATCGATATGTTTTTCAATTTATTCCTTAGTCCTTACGATTGAAAGGAAACACAATAGATATTATCCAGACTTAGACAAGTGTTGCTACTTAAAATATCTTTAATATCTCTTTAAGATATAAGAATATATTTCTCCGTGACCTATCACATTCTGCATAATCTGATTACAAGTAAGCTTCCTTTAACTGTGAAATCCATTGTACACCGCGTATATATATTCATCGCCATCAATCATTCATTTTTTCAGTGGTCGATATTTCATCCAATATCGCCATTAACAGCGACAATTTGCGCGTAATTGTTTTATAAATAATAATAGCCTGTCATTGGATGATCGCGGCCGGTTTCCACATCCTGCTAGATGTGATAATCGATCCAGGATAATCGCAAACGACTCCGTCGTTCTCTGATCCCCTTAAACCCGCGCCCGAAGCTCGAACGTGCATTTTCCAATCAATCGATCAGGGTAATCCAACAAACGATTGATTATCGGCTAGCAGCTAACAAATTAGTACCCTCTCAGTTACATTCGCGGAACTTCTATGCGCAGTAGCGTCTCATTCAAACGAATTATGGTCAGCATGAGTAAAATGTCTTAAATGCGATAAACCGCCTTTTACCCACGATATTGTTGCTCGTTAGTCACGGCCCAACGTGACTCAGGCGTACATATCTTTTAAATAAGTGATAAAAATATTCCATTCTGTTCAAAAGATGGTGCAACGGAGAAATGTTAAAAAAACGAAATGTTAACGTTAATACCGCGACAAGCTGATATTATTCAAATTACAGAGAAATTTGTATTTTTGTTTATAATATTATTACATTGATACATAAAGACGAATCTCTCTGTATAATGTTACGGAGTTATTTTCTATTTCCGAAAAGGACAAGTGTGCATAATGTCTTTCCTATTTATCTCTTTCAAAAGTAAAATTGTTAATCATGTAATAAAAATAAAATTAGGCTTCTCTTGAACAGATACTCTTCATTCGCGCAACAACCTTATTTATAATTTGTTGAGTTTTGAATAAATAAAAGCCTAGACATCCGAAAATCTTTCCCAACATTTTTCAATTGCTCGTAGTCTTGCTAGGTAAACTAAACTTTTTTCTTTTTTAAATAATAGAATGACGCGCCTGCTCGGGAAATACCCATCACGGAACTTGATTACCTTCTACGCAATAATCTGACAGCTGCTTTGCTCCTTCCTGACCGCCCCATTGTTTTCGAAAGTAAGATTCGTCTTCGAGTAAAGCAAGCGTGATTACTATGGCCAAATGCGCATATATTTTGTATGTGGATTCTAATCTGTTTAAAGTCAAATTCTATGCAAAATTAAATTTATATAAAATATGTACCTATATAAAATGTTTGCAAATTAAAACTATTGGAGAATGCAATCATAAAGTATCTTTTAATGAATTGTGACAAATTAAAGCGATCTGTGCTTATAAATTACAAAACATTACAAAATAGAAAAAAATTCTCTACCAATTCATAATAAATAACGGAATATATAATTATTAATAAAAAGTATTCCCCTCGAAAATAGCAACGATTCATATTCATCAATAATGATTTCTATTAACTATAATCCAAAGCACAAATTAAGAAATACGCAGTTGCATTCCATAAAATAATGTTGGCCTTATATCTGCGTTTCAAGTTCATGACAAAACAAAACATGTTTAACTTTGTTTGATCATTGTCAGTAAGTATTTCGTATAGCCTTCTATTTAGATTTTATGACTCTTTATGCATTATTAATGACAGAAAGACGTGCCATTCTTTTTCTAAAGATCATCGACCTCAGCATATTCAGCCATTCTGACACAATGATCAGCATTCAAATAATTCACATAACTTTCTTTTACGGATACACTTAATTACGAGTAATCGATCGAAGAAACGAGTTCGTGTGTAATGCAATCAAAGATTACGTCAAAGAATTTAAATGCATTACAATTTTCTTTCCCGGATATTCGCCGCTGGCAGTGACGAATGTTTACGAAAAATGCAAGTTTCGTTACGCGAAACGTTTCGTAACAGATTCATTGTATATTATTCATTGTATACTTCTCAGTAATATACATACAATTCACGAGACGCGTTTTCACGGGATTTATCTGTTGCGCAGCAAACAGAGAATGACTGTGTACATTCGTTTTTCTCATTATTCATAGGAAATTTTTAAAGACTGGAATTTTTATGAGCTTTCAGAAATTCTGGTAAGTGGTAAAAATATTCTTAATACTTTTTGGACCATTAGTGGATAACGTTTTATCTCTTTATCATGGTAATGTACTTATACATGCAAAGAAGTAACAAGAGTGAACCATTACCTTAAGCAAAATATATGGAGTTGATAGTAAAACTTATATTTGTTTGTTGATAGTGCGAGATTTATGTTTTTCCAACCTTATATAAGTTGTGAGTACCTAAGAAAACTCGTCAAGTCTGTGTCTTGCTTAAGTACTTACTTCTACTTAGGTACTTGTCGTTCGAGAAATTCGTCAATCGAAATCATGAAGTGGTTTCTATTAGTGGCAATATTTGCCGTTGCGCAACATCAAGGGGTAACAGGTAACAGCTAATATATTTTATTGTACTTTTTCTGTCGTGATATATTACTCTATAATCTTTTGTCTAATATAAATTATTTATTAAAAAATAGGCATGGTAAATTAATTGCTCACCGCTCTAAAATACTGGAATAATTTAAAATTCATGTGATTGTTCAAATATCGTTTAAACAACTAAAAATTTGCGCGGTTGTTTATTAATATATAAGTAAAATATTATAAACACAAGATAATTTACGTCAAGAAAGATTGTGTTTGAAGTTAAGCCCCCCACGAGGTGTCAGGAATATTTTCATATCTAATGCATGAATATTGTGTGAATCACACGAGTAACATCATAGATAAACAAAACGCAGAACGTAAGATATCGTATGCATTTTTGATAAACCGCAGATAAAGAGAATGCCGACAGATAAGTAATCGATTACGCATATGAGTATGATAATTATTAATTCTCATGATTTATACGACCATATTGATAAATCAGAATAGTAATGTATCCGCTAAATATTCCGCGAGAAATGCCGCAAGCGGGAATATCTTTAATTAATCGTTAATTCTCTTCCTTGTATTAAAACAATGATATCTATTGTGCATACGAAATCCGATAAATAAAATCAAATAAAAATAATTTATATCCCGGAGCACAAAGAAAAAAAAGAAAACGAAATTTTGTGTAAAAATATAAAATTTAATGTGATAACGATTGATAAAACATGTATATGATTTTCTTCAACCTTTTAACTCATTTTACATGATCTATAAGATGATCTATAAGATCAATTTTTCAAGATAGAATTCTACTTAACACGCCGTGTATTTTATTATATATAAGTGTATCTTAATATACATATTTTATATATGACATATTTATTCTAATGTAAATATTTATTCTAATAATTCAAATATTTTTTATACGAGTAACGGCGAGGAAGCCACGTAAAATTATAAACAGAATTGAGTTATTTTATTTAATTCATCTTGAATTCTG